AAGTTCTTCGGGTATTCTGTAAAGTTCATCTTGTGTTTTCTTCCTTTGTTCCTCCCATCTACCTTTACACGGAAGTCTCTGTGCGGTTTCTTTGTGTCTCTTACCTACCATACTATTACAATCGTTTATACATAGGGGTCTGGGTTTCCAACTCTTTAGGTTAGTCCATAATCTTGTCCGCTTCCTATATTCAAAACCATACTTACAATAGTCCACATGATAATAATCAAAATATTTCATAAAGTCACGTTCCTTCAAAAGTCCCGTCTGCGGATTTTCTATGAAAATATTCTCGGTTGAAAGTAGTTAATTATTTCAATAGTGTTCCTTACGATGCTATTAGCATAATCTATGTTTCTAACTCCTTTGGTTTTTGCTCTGCTATATTCAGTGCAAGGAGGCGAAGCCCAAATTATGTCAAAATATGTCTCATACTTTTTATAGTCCCATTCTAATATATATTTGTTGATGTGAGCCTTCTTCAAATCTAACGATATGACACTAAAACCGAATTCACGGGCAACTCTACCAACACTACCTGTTCCACTAAATAACTGAAACAGTTTCATATTAAAACTCTATAGATTTCAATATGAAATTATCCAAGTTCATAATATCCCGTTTCAGTACCCTTAAACATTTTGTAGAATTCTAATGTTGTTTCCTTTGGTTGTTTTATCTTACCATCGTTAATCCAATGCGCATACTGTCTCCTCTTATCATCCCACGAACCCGCGGGTCTTCCTATCTGCTTCTTTTCACAGTGTTTATCTCTCCTTTCCTTAGCATCCTTCTTCTCCTCCTTTTTAGGTTCAGTGAGTTTTCCATTATGGTTTTGATGTTCTTATTACATCTGTTCAGTTTGTTTGTCAGTTCTGACAGTTTGTCGGCGTTCTCATCCATATCACTCATATAATATATATGTACTTCTATATTTATGTATTTAAGTATATTTGTTTATTTAGATATTTTATACTTATTTATCACATCTGTCCCATCAAAATCTACTCTTTAAAACTTTTACATAAATCCATATCTTGTATAGATGATTGTTTGTTCTCACTTCTTGGAGTATTCATCACATCAGCAATCATCCGGTTGGTGCTTTCCTTGCCTTTGTCCTCTGGTGTGATTTGTCTGTTCCAACTGAACGATATGCTGTGTGCTTCACTATCCAGTTTGATGTCTCCGTTGTCATCCCTACTAACGTTCATAGTCTTATCGCTCTTTGATATTTTGAAGGAACACGGATTACAACTACATGTTATCCCCTTCGGGTTGATTTCTATTGTGTTTTGTAGTTGTAGTTTTCAGTAGCATAAGGGACAGTCAAAGGTGATGAATTTGCTTTTGAGTTTCTGCTCTTCATCAAGTTTTATCATTGTTGGTTCTTCATCGGACAGTTCAAAATCTTCCGGTATGGGTGCTTTATTCATCTTCACATTTGTTTTTCGACGAGGCATCTATATTACGTTTTAGATATAATTAGACAATATGATTGATGTATATATTGTCTAATTAGTGCTGGGGAAACACTAAAAAGGATGCTTGGCACTTTGAATTCAACTTGGCAATCGTCAAACACTGGGTGGGGCAAGTCCATCGCAAAAGCAAACAAATTAGCGACTTATGCGGATTGAAGCCAACTGTCCCTAAATGGTTTCCTTCAATAAGAATATAAACATTCTATTTTCTAAGTAAACAGGAACCACAGCGCCTAACCTCAATCAATACATGAATGTGAAGCAAATAATTCGACATCTTTGAAGAACAACTTGGTAGAATTTGAACCTGAACCTACACATAGAAACTCTGACCACCTCAACAATTATCCCCTTCATTCAATCCAAACAATGAAGTGAAAGTTATGACCCTAAAACACCCATAACAAGACACCAGAAAAACGACAAAGGCTCAACACAAATGTTCAAGAGCCAAGAAAATTCAACGAGGTGATTGATGAACCAAAACTCCCCAGAACCCCCATTTTACCATGTTTTCCCCTCACAGTACCCCAACACAAAAAACAACAGAGGCTTGCACCCAAACATAGCCAAACGCCCAGGTCCTTCCAGGCCCTTTTTTAGGCCCTTCCGTCCTCAGGGACTCTCGGGTCATGGCTTCCTCCAATGTGGTCGTGGGATGCACCAGATTCATCTTCTCGCGGCGCACTAACGCTTCACCTCCCATGGCGGCGACCGTTTCCAGATGACGGGAGGCTCGGTGTGTACTCGTCTCCAGGCTCAAGGACGGCAGATGTCTGATCGTGTGAGATGATTGTTTTTGGAAGGTCTTCACTGTGCCAAGAGTCTCTAAGAATGATAATATTATATACTTATATACTCCTTTTGATTGTCCAAGCTGCCTCGCTACTGTATCGTTTTTGCTGGATAAGATCCGGAACGGTGTGATTGGATGCCGAGGGCCCGACCATTTCATTCTTAGGTAAACCAACAAAGGGTTGTCCTAAGGACCTTGCAACTGATACCCATTTGCCCAATCCGCCGTCATGCTTAACCAAGGAATATGACAGGGCGAAGTACCTGTGTTTGAAAGAGGCAGACGACTTGATGCGAGCCTGAAAAGTGTTTCTCGCTGAGGTCGATGTATACAGAAACATGAGGGTGTGTCTTTGAAACTGGACAAAAAAAGACTGCTTCCAGACTGCTGGGAAGATGTACGAGGCGAAACCTCGGTGCCAAATCAACTGCCAAGGCTCTATGCAGTTCATCACTCGAAAAAGGGGAAGAAGAAGAGCAAAGAAGAAAAAGAAGGTCACTTGTCAAAATTGGCGGGATTAGAAGCTGGTTCACTGGTTGCCCTTAGTACATACAGTAGATTTCCAAGACATTCTCTGCATGCATTGCATTCCAAACCGCCATGTGGTACCAAAGCTCGAAGAGAAACGCTCCGGGCCTTGTGTGTCCGCTTTGGGCTGCATATATGGCGGAAGTGGTGGTTCTACCAGTCGTCCTTGTGCCTTCGGTTTGACGCGGAGACAGCTCAGACGCTCTCTGCACAGCTGCCTCTACTCACCTGTCTCCTTCTCCTCAAAAAGTGACACGACCCTGAGATTGCTTTCCGAAACTTGGAAATGAAACATCATGAAACTCTGGAAAACGAGACTGTTCAAACAGGAAGGCTAGATCTCTTGGAGAACAGGAAGAGGAAGACCGACAATGTCCATTCTCGAGGAAAGGACGGCACACTGATGGCACCTGAAGCAACTTCCTGCGGTGTCGAAGTTCTCGAAGAGCACGGCCTGACAAGTGGGGATGATACAGTGCTCCACTTGAAGGGTGCCCCACTGAAAACTAAGATAGACACTGAAAACCACTGGTTTGTAGAGCCATTCTCAGGGTCCATGTCATGTTAGTTTTCGGGAGTGTACAGTCTCCTGGTTGGTGCTGCTATAACGCTACTGCAGGCCCAACCTGAAGAGTTTACTGTAGAGATTTCGATGGAAACCTATATCCAAGCAACACTAACACCAAAAGGAACACAAATGTTTCTCAGTGTTTCTTGCAATCAAAACTGTTCATGGGTCCTCGCCTGCAAGTCCGGCTGAGGCCACCAGCACCAGAGTTGCCACCTGCTTTTGGCCGCCCAGAGCATCGAACTCGCTCTACGCTCGGTGCGGGCCGATGGTGGGCGATGGATGGCAGACTGTCCCGTGTTTGGAACCGATCGCCCCAAGACTTGCGATAGGGCCGATAGGGTCACTTGAGGCCGAGGGTAGGTAACGAAAGCTAGCAGGGATGCATCCGTGTCAGTGGAGGCGAAGCATACAGCGCCGTCCAGTGACAAAGGACTGGTGGGACATCAAGCGGAGTGAGGCAAATCTTTTTTCATAGGCATGGGGCTGTTAGAGGGATGGTTCACAAGGTCTCGCTCATGAGGTAAAACGTTGTGAACATGTAAGACACACGAACAGCAATGACACAGCCAACCTTAGCTTGTGAATCTGTTGAATCTTTTGCATCGTATCCCAAAACCTCCACGGAGTTGAACCAAAGTGGATGCCATAAGAGGTGTCCAAGAGGCGTCCCAGGGGGGAGTTGAACCCGCGGGGGGGGGGCCCTCTACATATGAGGTGTTCACGTGATGCGGCGATCTCGAGGATTCCAGCCCCTCACTTGCTAAAGCAAGGACAACTCCAGCTAGCTGCTGCTAGCTTTCGTGAAAAGGTATAAACCATGATCAAACGCTTCATGTCTTTGTCTTCGCATGAGGAAACAGCAAGGCCATGCAAGGCCTGGGAGCTTTCAGCCGTGGCTCTGCCTCGGTAGCTCCCACGAAAAGAAACCTTCGTTAGCAGCAAATGAACAAAGTGAAACGCCAAACCTGCGACGTCAAACATCCAATCTTCCTCGCCCATTCTGCGACTCCGAGACTTCTCGACCTACTCGACGCTTTGGACTCGATCTGAGGTCCACGGACACGAGAACCTCTCTGCCTGAAGGCTCACCGCGGCCTCAACGAAAAGAACAGACTGCTCGGCAAAGCCAACTCTCGTCCATCTTTTCCCTTCTTTTCCCGTATCAAGACAAGCTCCCAGGCACATCTGTCATGTGAGAAACTGAACAACTCGACCAAACCCTGTTCGAGCTGAGACATGCCGACCAAAGGCTGCGACATATGCTCAATTTTTTGCCCCGCATCAAGCTTTTCGGGGAAGTTACTGTCTTTACCCCATCTACGGCATCAACGATCATGCACTGATTAGCCAGTGCGTCCAAAGGACCGTGTTGAGCCTCATCTGTCCCCAATCTGAACCCCAAATGCCAGCTTCATCCGCGCTTAACGACAGGTACAATCGGCAAAATAGCGGCTAGGTTCAGCACGAAATCCTGACCAAGAAAACTCAGAAACCGCCTGGATGAAAGCCACAAAAACCCCGGCCACTGCTTTGCAGTAAGCCCATGCAACAGAAACTTCCGGCTAAGAGTTTGAACGTTGAAGTCAAATTCACCTCTCACTGGACGGGACTTCGGAGAGCTTCAGTGTGCTGCCTGACTATCACATCTGCTGCTGTCAGTATTGCCACTCTTTGGCTGCTGGTGCACCATGGCGCAACTCAGTTCCTGGTCACTGCATCTATAGAAGATTCCAAGCTTTGGTCATAAGTGGCTAGGATCTTCTTCATTTGCCCAGTCACTCAGTCACCCAGTCCTTGCGATCCGCCCCATCCGCACCGGCGCCGTGCGCCACGTCAGTGGCTTCCAGGCGAAGCCGGCTCTTGGGAGGAGTGGGCAGGTCGGCCAGCGAGCTTGCGCCTGCCAGAGGTATTTTGGAAAAAAATCGAAGAACATCCAGAAGCCTCTGGAAGCCTCTTCCAAAGCCTCTGGAAACCTAATCAAAAGCCTCTGGGAAGCCTCTTCAAAAGCCTCTGGGAAAGCCTCAAAAGCCTCTGGAAGCCTCTTCAAAATGGAAGCCTCTTCAAAAGCCGCTGGAAGCCTCTTCAAAAGCCTCTGGAAGCTTCTTCAAAAGCCTCTGGAAGCCTCAAAAGCCTCTGGAAGCCTCTTCAAAAGCCTCTGGGAAGCCTCTTCAAAAGCCTCTGGGAAGCCTCTGGAAGCCTCTTCCCAAGAAGCAGGTTTACAACGATGAGAGCGCCCCTCGACCAAGCCAACATCTAGGCCAATCCCGAGAAATTCCAAAGGAAAGGAGTGCATCTGAGGTGTGTCTAAAAAGTTGAATGGCACTGGAACGCTCAGAATTTCCGAGTTTCACCATTTTGCACACCCTTGGCGTCTCCTTAGTGATTGCCCAAATGGCTTCAGTGAAAATGAGGTTTGGCAGATGCTGAGGTGCAAACAGGGAGCTCCTCTCGTGAAAATCCTGGAGCGACTTGATGAGCCGTACTTTTGCGAAGGCATGTCTTCTTTGCGATCTAACATGATGTCAGTGGGAAACACTCTTTCCTCAACACTCACCACATTGAAGCTGACAAGGCCCTCTTTAAATGACTCACTCCGATCTGCAGTTTCCACCAGCCGCATTGTGCCAGATGGGAACTGATCAGTCCAGCACATCACCAGATATCATTTAATTTCCCGCTTTCCGCTCTCTAGGGATTTGTAGCCTTCAATCTGGTACTCCGCAGGCTCGGACAGGTTGTCTATCTCCGAGATGAAGGTCACAGCGAATGCATTTAGGGCAAAGTCGCTGGCCTGCTCAGAGGTGGCCAAGTAAACCGGAAGGGAGTACAGGATCAAAATGCGGAAGAATCCGTTGGCGATGTAATCCATGAAGAAACGCAGCAGCACCTCGGGCCGGCTCAGCAGTGGAGCTGGTTCCCCGTCTGCTTCCAGCTTGCCCTTTTTCAACAGGACTGCCCACAAGTTGTTGCCGCATTGGTCATCCAAACACACAGCCCAACGGCCGAATTCAAATCCCTTGGAGGAGTTTGGACTTGATCGGAATTTAGAGCTGAGGTAGTATTGCACGAACAGCGCGAAGGCCCAACAGAATCTGGTGAATAGATTCATCTGGACAGGACCCACCACTTTGTTCCAATACACGCAGACGAAGATGCAAGAGAGCAAGAAGGTGTGCATGCATGTCAAGATGGATACCTTTGGGTCCTGGTAAACATTCACAGCCTGCACACTTGGGACCACATAGCCCTCTCGTTCGCGACGAACGGCATCATTGAGGTCATAGATCGTGTAGACGGTGAATATAGCTGTGAGCAAGGCAAAGATGGGCCAGCTGTGAGGCATATGAATGTTGTAGTAGACTTCCAGCATGGCCTTGGGGTCGAGGAGCACCTCAGGTACCACAAGGTACTGGATCAGGACATTGCATGCCGTCAGCAAACCGGTCTTCATCAAAAAATCTCGCACAAGCCACCACTCCCATCCACCGGAGCAGTAGTGAAATAATAAGGTCACCAAGGCAAGCGCTATGTGCAGCACCAGCACAAAAGAAAGCATGAATTTGAAGTGGTAGATCCACGGCTGTTTCTTCATTTCCTCTTCTAGTATGGCGCTCTGAAGACTATTTGCTCTGTCCAAGGCTCCGTGCTGCGCAGCCAGCATCGCTGCGTTTTTGCCCTCCTCGTCCATGGCAGTCAAGGACACGCCGAGCTGCTGATGAAGACCTGTCACCACTTGGAACGGCATGTTGCACGGATCGATGGCTGGTGATTTAGCACAAGAGTGCAGTGAGCTTGCCTCCATCAACAAGGTGCGATCTTCACTGCTCCTCTCATCAAGAAATTCTGGATGATCTATGGCATACTGGAAGACAGACGCCGGAACACCCTTTCTTCCATAGCCAAGTTTTGCTGTCTCCACTTCCATGTTGAGGCTCAAAATGGCGCAGTACTGTTCGTCACCAGAAAAAGGGGACGGACATGGTCTGACAAGCCACCTCCTCAAGGTTCCCCAAGTAAGCAATCGGAGCAGTGCTGGCTCAACTTGAATTTCCTCCTTCTTCGCAAGCTTAAAGCCAACATCAACAAAGCTGGAATTGCCAAATGTTCCATTTGTGAACAAGCGTCGTACAATTTCTATGCGGCTATCAAGATGCCACTGCTCCTTTGCATACATCAAACCGAACTGAGACAATGAGGACTGCTCTTCCTCTTTCCTAAGGACTGGCAAGCCAAAGGCAGCTGAAGCCAGGGCCAAATCTTTCAGGTCCTGGTCAGGGTGCTTCTCCAGCACAGAGAAAAGCTGCTCTTCATTGCCATCCATTGCATATTTGGTGACGTTCTCAATAACACTCATGTCCTCACAGTCTGGTGCATGCATTCTCTTACTGAATCTCCCAAACTCTTCACAACCCTCTTCCTGGCTTTTCTTCCCGAATTGGCTTACAGAATAACCGACCCACCAAGCATGTCCATGCGTGATGTAGGTCTTCCATGAATCAAAGTCCTCCGATGCCACCGGAACTTCCTTGTCCGTGGACAAGCGCCTGGGCAAACTCTTTGGAAGCACAGGGGCAAGCGCACCAAGCGCACCTTGTCCTTCAGGCCTTTCAGGCCTTGGCTCTGAAGTGACGCCCTTGTTCACCGCAAGGCGCCCAAGTTCCGCTTCCAAAGCGGCCAGGTGGGTCTCGACGGTCTCCAAGCGCGCTTCGAGCGATTGGTTGTAAGTCCGCCAAGTCCTCCAAGTGGTCCAAGACCACCAAGCCGACCAAGCCCCAGTGGACACCGCCATCAAAATGGCGCCAGCCAGAAGCGAGGACCACGGGCACCGCATGGCTGGGACTACCTGTTGGGCGGCTTTGGGGCTGGGCAAAGCAGCTGAATAAAAATGAGGTGACTGGAGCAAAGCAAAAATCCTCACAACCTTCAACTTATTCAACTTCTTCAACCCTACAGATAGTGTAAACACACTCAAGGAACACACCAGAGGTCACGGTACTGAAACTGAAACTTTGACGTCCGATTGTCAGCACAACGCAGCGAGATTCGGGGCACTGTCCTTGGCCATGCTCTTGTGGGAGCACCATGGAGCAACTTGAAGCAAACCATAACATGACATTTAACCAAGAATCCGAAGCTTGAATGCATTCAAAATGTCATTTTAAGACCTTCAGACCATCCTTTTGAATGCTGTAAAGTTAGAAAACCGAATCTCCCCTACACAATCTCCGCTTGCCACAAATGTGGTGAGATAGCTCAGCAGTGCGCGACAAGCGTTTAAAGCTTAGCATGTAAATTTCTCTGCAAAGAACATGGTGCAAAGTAATATCTGCTGATAGTTGCAAGCTTGAGCCGCATACGTTCAGTGCTCTGGGGGTCGGTGTTGGATTCGCGCCACAGAGCTTTCTTTACGCTAAGCCGCTAAGCGCCGCATACTGCGCTGCAAAGCGATTCGCTCACATGATTCACAGAGACGCTGCGCATGACATCACCCATGTCTGATTCTCAAGGAGATATGGAAAGCACCAGGCTGAATTCCTGTAGAGCTCGAAGGCGGCGGTGATTCAGAACTAGTGATGTTCGGGCCCGAGGAAGTCTTCTTGTCAAAGACAGCCGTTACTAGAGGAGTACAAGCCTTTAAACAAAGCTGAGCAAATCCATAAAGCAGTTCAACAGCACACTATGGATACGACGTGGACACGCTCAAACACTTTACTCGAACTGAACTTCGCGGACACAGGCGGGATAGCAGAGTCAATGGAATTTGAAGAAAGAACTTCGGGGACTTCTTTGTACCATGGTTCATCCCACAACAATGACAACTTTGTTGTAGCTTCGGAATCTCCAAAGCCGGGCCAGAAATTGAAAGTACGACACCAAAACCTATTGGAGTTTGCTGAGATGATTCTGTGTGGAGAGAGCAATGTCAACCCGAAGAGTGCGAAGTCTGAAGAAATTGACAGCTGAGACTGTGGAGATGGTGTTGGACCAACCTGGGAAATGCTGAAACTGTGGCCCTTCCAACCGCTGAAGCTCCTTTCAAAAAGGGAAGTCCGACCATTGCCAAGAGAACAATGGCATACAATGGCTGTTTTTTGGCCAAACAAAACACACATCTGCAATGCCGGCATTCGGAGAACAGGCTTGAACACGTGTCCAGGACAGTAGAGCTCAATGTCTGAAACGCACCACGCGCACTACGCATGGTCTTATCCAAATGTCTGATTTGGCACTCCAAACATGTCTATCCGGATCTAGTTGGCACGCGAATGATCTGCTTCTCATTGAAAGTGAGGCTTTTCGGGTGCCAATTGACTTGTGAAAAGCATATAACTTTTCAATGGGATGCTAGGGGTCTGAGTAAAAACAGGTATATAGCTTGCAAACTTGCTCTGTGAAGTACGACGAAATGCGGACGAAACCCAAATCGCACACGGTCGAAACGGAGACCGTCAACAGCCCAAAGTCTGCAAAGTCTGTAAATGTCACAATTGGGGTAGCTACGGTAGCTAGTGACTCGACTCGACACTTTGCCATGACTTCACTCCAGAAATCCAGACAAATGTCTTTCAGACATGTTGTGGCTGCAACACGAAGTCATTGAGCGGCAGACGGCCAGGTGCAATGGATGCATTGCAAGCTGATAAAGCTTCACAAACCTGTTACACGGGTCTTACACAGATCCACATCTCTGGCAAAGGGCCAAGTCATACAAAGTCACATCTATCATAGGTGGCATATGCAAAAGCCTCTGGAAGCCTCTTCAAAAGCCTCTGGGAAGCCTCTTCAAAAGCCTCTGG